AGGAGGCAATAAAGACGTAATATAACTGACACGGAAGTAACGTAGTACAAGCTCACACATTTCGGTTCAGTGAAATTCCAACAGGGCAGAATTGCTGCCCGCTCATTCATCTTTCATTAATCGACATAACTCATGTAGATAATTCTTTGCCTCCTTTTGACAAACTTAATTAATCTATACATAATCATATAAATAAAATTGGAGTCTCGGTTTGTAATATTGAAATAACCGTTTTTTACTACATGCATATGAATATGAATACGGTATATACACCAAAATAACATTTTTTACAATTTTTGTCTGTCTGTCTCTTTGTCTGTTTGTTCCGGCTAATCTCTGAACTGGCTGAACCGATTTTGATAAGACTGTTTTTGGCAGGTAGTTGATGTAACAAGGTTTATAATAAATTTAGAGAAGAAGTAATGACGTCCTCGATGGGCCAGTGTTTTAGATTCCGCCTTACATCAGATGATTGCGGGTAATAATAATCTTAGTAGCCTGAAACTGCAGTAATAAGTCTGCAAGATGTAAGAATAAATATTTCACATTCCGCCAATTTCCAGACCACACCTCAATGTAACAATTCAACTGCAGTTTCTGTCATTTATTTAACGGAATTGGGCAGTGCCCAACGACCATGTCTAATATCCAGTTAGTACCCAAAGCCCGATTATAGGTGCCTGTACCCTTTCGTTGGTTGAAAGGACAAATAAAAAGTACACGGAAATTAGTGAATAACTCTTGATGAGTTTATTACTCAGTCTTGGAAGATTTTGAACGTGGAACCTAAAGCTTCCAAATCTAAAAGTCTATTTATTCTTTGGAATATAGGTTTTTAGAACGTGAAACAGAAGGGTTCGAAATTTAAAAATCAAGATTCTGTTTTACATTTTTCGCCGTGATCTAGTGGTTCAACACACCGATTTACTTTCAATCGTTGGGGGTTCGATTGTACAGTACAAAGATCGCATAAAAAAATAATCTGTCAGTTGTATAGTACCTATAAAGAATAAATCTAGAACATAAATTAAAGGATATAGTTAATTACCTTTAACATAGCAACAAGTTTAATCAACAATGATTGTACTAAGTATTTTTTTGTATTCTGAATTAGCAAAGACATCGGTCTTTGCTAATTCAGAATGGATTTCAAAATGTTTTTATTTTAAAGAATGTTGTAATACTAGCTTTTACCTGCAATTTAGTTTACTATTTTGTAAATAAAAGTTTGTTAGGAATTTGATATGGTTTAAACTTCACGTCTAATTCCATTAAAATTCATACAGCCGTTTAGTCGTTAAAAAGTTAAATTTTGGAAAAAATATTTTTGCATTCATAACACCAGTTGTTACCCCAACTTTGTTTGTATTTTTTAAATACGCAATCGTAATACAATTTATGTTTAAAATATAAATTTTCATTAACTTGTATTCAGTCGTGAAAATGTAGCAAACAGACAGACAGATAGATACGTTTACGCATGCATATTATTATTAGGGTAGTATATATGATTATATATACCTTAAGATTATTCGTATAGTTAACAACACCGTTACTAGTACAACATGACTCCACAGTAACTCCATGATCGAATTAAACATAACACAATTAGGTTGTCGCGTACAATATTGCCATTGAAATGGTAATATGATTTGTACTATGATCCGAGACAAGGAAGTGACTACAAAGCCCATGTATCGAGTACACTACTTAATTCAATATGTCATTTTGGAACATGCTTCATTATGTTAAGAGCCCGTTTTGATATTATATCGCTTCTGTTTAATTCGAGTGACTTCGAAAAGGACGTTATAAATTTGAGTACCATAAGTACCTGTTTATTTGTTTCCTGATATCTTCGATAAGTTGAATAAGTATATAATAATATAATATTCCGATATTGATTCCGATTTGATGATGATATTGATCATCATCAAGTCATCAATCAAATAGATCGATCGCATCCCCTCCAGCATACCACTACATCGCGAAGAATTATTATCTGTTATTAGTGAGATTAACATTGCTTAAATCCAAACTTAAGAAGATTAAACAACGAGATACTTGTAAAAAAAAAATGCTACGAGCCCCGAGTTAGTTTCATCCAACACTGTACGTAAATTCTCACGAAGACAAATATTTATACCGTGCGAGGAATCGAACCTGCGACCTTCGAAAGTAAAACAGTATAGTAAACCGTTAGATCGCGGTAAAATATTATTTATTATTTTATAAAAACAAACAATGTGACTTTTGAAAAAAAAATCAATAGGCTCCGCGTTACTTTAATCCAAGAGTAATACAACTACACATAGGTAAAATATTACCAGTAAAACTACTACGAGGTACTACAATGTATACATATATATCTCGGTTAAAATTACTAGTAAAACAACACAAAATTTTGTGTTGTGGTACTACAATCTATACAAAAATCTTTTTTTTTTAAATACCAGTAAAACAACGCAGTATTTTGCGTTGTGGTACTACAATTTATACATATATATCTTAGTTTAAATTACTAGTAAAACAACACAAAATTTTATGTTGTGGTACTACAATCTATACAAAAATCTTTTGATTTAAAATACCAGTAAAAGAACGCAGTATTTTGCGTCGTGGTACTACCATTTATACATATATATCTCGGTTAAAATTACTAGTAAATCAACACAAAATTTTGTGTTGTGGTACTGCAATCTATACAAACATCTTTTGATTTAAATTACCAGTAAAACAACGTACTACTTTGCGTTCTGGTACTATAATTTATACATATATCTTCTGGTTTAACAATATACCATATTTTCCACATTTCCTACGCCACGTTTCTGCCTGTACGAGTACGTATTTTGTCATGATTATGTGCCTGCGTAATTTAATGTCTCTTCATACAGAAGCCAAACGGAAACATATTTCAAATACCATCTTGTGATCTCTTGAAACGAAAACAGATCTTTGTGAAGGTCGCTTCATATTGTTATTTTTTTTTAATTATCGAAATTATTCGGTCTCTTACACTAAGTAAATGTAAATATGTTTAGTTAACTGTTTCCTGTATGTTCTTTTTAGTACATCCTTTCTCTGTTTTTTTATTATTAACTAGTTGTTCCCGTGACTTCGTCCGCATGGAATTTATCTTTATTTTTCTAAAATAAAAGTAGTCTAAGTTACACCTTATTACATCAGCTGCCTGCCAAAAAAATCCCGTCAAAATCAGTCCAGCCATTTCAGAGATTATCCGGAACAAACAGACAGATAGATAGACAAAAATTGTAAAAAATGTTATTTTGGTGTATGTACCGTATTTATATTCATATGCATATAGTGAAAAACGGTTATTTCAATATTACAAACAGACACTCCAATTTTATTTGTATGTATAGATAATAATAATGTAAATAAATATAGTATATGCTAAAAAATAAACCAGCAAAATCTCTGAAAATGAAGCAAAATAATAATAATAGTATCTGAGGACAATTCACACTGCGCCATCTAGTCCCAACAAAGCCGAGCTTGTTATGTGTACTAGACAACTGATACAAAAACATAGATATTTTAAATAACCAGACCGATGTATACAATCATACTCTTGTGTAAGCGTACATTGATAAAGTAGCAATAGTTTCTCTTGTTAGTAACATAGATGGCGCTACCTTAGCGCCCCACGTACCGTACTTTGTAGATAATAGTTATTTTTGGAAGTACAATTTGTAAGCGTACATTGGTAAAGTAGCAATAGTTTCTCTTGTTAGTAACATAGATGGCGCTACCTTAGCGCCCCACGTACCGTACTTTGTAGATAATAGTTATTTTTAAAACTACAATTGGATTATTGGGGCATAAAACGAGTAGCGGTTGTTGTGTGAAGACATTGTCGGATAACATCACAGAAAGGATCATCACTAACCAAGGAAGCAGGTCAGTTTTACTTAATTTATTATGTTAAATAGGCTTAATTGCTTAGTTTATGTAACATTGTAGTGGTATCCATTATGTACTGAGATTGTATACGTGTATGGAGAATAAACTTTATACGGGAAGTATGATTTTGGGTTTCAATTATATCAACTCCTTTCAACTCAGAAGTGGGATAGGCAGGCAGACTACCTATGGCCGAGTTAACCTTAGCAGTACGATTGCCTGTCTATCCTTGCCCACCGTAGTGAAAGTTTTTGAGCGAAATTGTACGTGTTTAAAATTTCTTTTTTTTTCTGTATGCGTATACCACTACAATGTCTCATAGAAATTATTGGTGATATAAGTGTAATGAAGTATTTATGCAGTTACTTAAAAAAAAAAAAATAATAATACATATAATTAATATGAAGATAATCTTCCAATATAATTTAAAATCTACCCACTCGAGTTTATTATCGATTATTGATTAAATAATTGAGTTGCTACTGATTGAGATTAATTGTTATTTGGATGAAAATGGTGGTGTAAAATCGTGAGTATTATGATATGGTAATTACTAAGACCTCATATACACAATAAGTAGCATGATTAGAATCCAATTAGGTGCTGGTAATACTTAAACATCTCCAAACAGAGGTACTAATAAAAGTATGCTGTGCTACCTACAATTGTCGTTTGCCGCATTCTAGTATACTAGATAATTATCCGTATTTTACCGTACCATTATGTAAGAAATAACATTGAGGTTAATATTTAATCGGTATTAAGATGATACAATTATAGGTATATTGTATTGTAGTATATTATAACGTATATTGTTCACATCTAGTAAAGAATCTATGCAATGATTTCTAGATAGAGTGCAGAATTGCCTTCTAGGTATACAAATATACAAGTTGTAATTGATATGAAATCTGTTTAAGTTCGTTTTTAGATAGTAACTAATATGCTCCAATACTATGCCAACTACACGCGGGAAACTTATATTTAACATTGTCTAAGGTATTAACTCAAGTTGGGTTACCAGTAAAATAAACATATACTACTCTTGTTTACGTATTACATGTTTCAGTATCATGGACGCCAGTGACAACGAGAATACAACTGGGATGAACTTGGAAATACATCATCAGGACCGTCACCTGGTGCAGGATATACGGGCTAGAGAGCCTGAAGTAACACTAATGGGTGAGCGATATTCCGTAGACGTACATGGACAAACAAGTGGTGAGTCTCGCCGGGTAATGACTCGTGACACATCGGGTATTCATCGGGAAAGTGAGTCTCGTCGGGTAAAGACTCACTTATTATCGGGTATGCAACGGGAAAGTGAGTCTCGTCGGGTAAAGACTCACTTATCATCGGGTATGCAACGGGAAAGTGAGTCTCGTCGGGTAAAGACTCACTTATCATCGGGTATGCAACGGGAAAGTGAGTCTCGTCGGGTAAAGACTCACTTATCATCGGGTGTGCAACGGGAAAATGAGTCCCGCCGGGTAACGACTCACTTTTCATCGGGAAATCATCGGGAAGGTGAGTCTGATCAGGTAGAGACTCGCCCTTCACCAAGTACTCGTCGGGAAGGCGAGTCCCGCAGGGGTAACACTGGTGAGATGACTGAATGCTACCGTGAAAGTATTCACCGGTTTGAGACTTCTCGTTCATCAAATCGGCGAAGCGTGAGTCATCGTCGGGTGTTACAAACTCCTAATCGTCTAGATCATCGACGGAATGGTGAGTCAGCAGTTAATAGTCGTAGTAATAATGAGCAACAATATAGGCGCTCATGTAGTCAGTCGCAAATAGCAGCAGCAGCTATTAATTATTCGCAGCGTAGTCGATCAAATAGTAGGCAAAGACGCCGTTACAGTTCTAGAAGTAGATCACCGGAAATAGGACTTCACAACGAGAGCCGAAACATCCCCACCCTACATCATAGGCCAATTAGCCACAAGGCAAACAATGGGATGCATAGCCACACAAGTTACTGTGTACGCGAAAATTATGCAAGCAATAGTCTGAAACGGAATCGACATCGCAGTGCAAGTGGTAGCCCCCCGACTCATAAAATTCGGGAAAGTAATACCAATGAGATCTTAGATAAGTTTCTACATATCCTAGATAGCATGAAAGGTTCGAGCTCTAAACTATCCTTAAATAATGTGGTTCCAGAATTCGACCCAATGAAAAAGGATCAAACCATCTTGACTTGGCTCACGAAAGTCGAGGAATGTTCCTCGATCTATGGGTGGAATGAGCGAGAAACGATACATTTTGCATTGCCAAAGCTCGTTGGTGTCGCAAAGTCATGGTATCAGGGTTTGGACACAGTCATGCTATCATGGAACATGTGGAAAAAGAAACTTATAGAATCTTTCCCATGTCGAGAGGACTATGCGGAGTTACTAACGGAGATGCTGGCCAAGCGTGTTCGTTATGGCGAATCGCTTGAACAGTATTATTATGATAAAATGAATTTACTTAACAGAAGTTCCATTAAAGGTCGCAAAGCGGTAGACTGTTTATTACACGGAGTCGAAGATAGGGCAGTGAGAGTGGGTGCACAAGCGGCCCGATTCCAAGAGCCAGAAGATGTGTTAAGGTATTTTAAGACCGTTAAGGTTGCAAACGTGAAGGACAGTGACAAAACAAGACAAGATCGACGCATTACTTCTAATAAATACAGGACAGGACAGACTAAAAGAGTTTTCAAATGTTATAACTGTGATACAGACGGACATAGGAGTTTTGAATGTCCGAAGCCAGCCAATAAATGCTCAAAATGCAATAAAGTTGGGCATTTGGATATTCATTGTAGAGCATTGTTTACTCAGAAAACTAGTAGGAATTACTCGCAGAATACGATAGATAACACAAACAAACATACACAAGACAGACATGGAACATATTTGAGAGATGAGAAGCAAATCGCCTCACTAACTACTTCGGATAAAGTTAATAGAAAATATATAATACAGGTAGAATTAAATGGGCTAAGCATGGAATGTTACGTAGATCTTGGTAGTCAATGTACTCTAATTAGGGAACAAATCTCGAATGAACTAAATCTCGTCGTAACGACTAATGACTTACCTGTAATGCAGGGAGTAGGTGGAGACTGTTTTGTGCCATTAGGCCGCTGTTATGGCGAAATTAAAGTACAGGGAATAAAGGAAAGTATTGAAATTTTCATTGTAAATAATAATATATTAAAGTACCCAATGCTGCTAGGGCATTCTTTTACAGAAAAACCAAATATAGTTATTACAAAGACTCCTGAACAAATAATTTTTGAGAGGATCATGCCTTATTTTATTAGGCATGATCCTCTCAAAAATTATTTTGAGAGTTCAAATGGAAACCAATGTACCACCTCATAGTACGAGAGTGATACCTGTGGTGACCACCCCGGAGTATGCAGGCAAAGTGCTGGTGAATGGCAGTATAAGAGGTCTGAGTGGAGAAGAACATTATCTTTTACCAGGTGAATATTCTTTGGAAGCAGGCATCGGTCGCCTACTCATTCACAATGTGAGTAACAAAAATCTTATAGTTGATCATAACTCAATTTTAACACGAGCAATTCCGGTATCGCATAAATACGATATATATTCTATGACGTTTGCTGAATTCAAGTCAGACGAAAAGGTTTTATGTGGTACGCAGATTACTATAAAGGAGAAACTAGCATTACAAAATCTTCTATCTAAATACAGTGATTGCTTTTCCACGGGACTAAAAGATCTTGGTTTTACGACGGCGGGCGAGATGACAATCGAACTTAATGATTCGGAACCAGTAGTATACAGACCATATAGACTGTCTTGGGGTGAGAGAGACCAAGTAAGGAATATGGTACAAGAGATGATGGATGCTGGTATCGTACGGGAAACGTCATCTCCTTATGCTAGCCCTATAGTGTTGGTACAAAAGAAGACTGGAGAGAAACGTTTATGCATCGATTATCGCGCTCTTAATCGAAGAACGAAGAAGGATCATTATCCACTCCCCCGTATTGAAGATCAACTAGACCAGCTTGCAGGCAGTAAGATGTTTATATCTCTGGATCTAGCATCAGGATACTACCAAATTCCCATCGCTGAAGCCTCTCAGGAGAAAACAGCCTTCGTGACCCCCGATGGTCAATACCAGTTTACAAGAATGCCTTTTGGCCTTGTAAACGCCCCGTCTGTCTTCCAGAGAACAATGAATAAAATACTAGCAGATGCAAAAATTAAATACGCACTAATTTATATGGACGACTTTCTTATTCCCGCAACTTCTTTTGAACAAGGTTTAGATAGGTTGGAAGAAGTTCTCGCATTAATAAAGCGGGGTGGCCTAACCCTCAAATTAAGTAAATGCAGGTTCTTTTTTGACAGGATCGATTTTCTTGGTTTCGAAGTTGGCGCGGATGGCATTAAACCTGGCAGTAAGAAGACTGAAGCTGTGGATAAATTCCCAGCTCCTAGGAACGTGCACGAACTACGGCAGTTTGTGGGTCTGGCTAGTTTTTTTAGAAGATTTGTAAAGGGATTCGCGTTAATTGCGAGACCGCTCACCGATCTCCTCAAGAAGAATTCCGAATGGAAATGGGATGCCCCACAGGAGGAAGCATTTGGTAAATTAAAAGCCAATTTGGTACAAAGACCCGTTCTCACTCTGTATGACCCTAAACGTGAAACTCAAGTACATACTGACGCATGTAAGAACGGCGTTGGAGGCGTGTTGGTTCAAAAAAATGATGAAGGTCTATTCAAACCGGTGGCATACTACAGTCGTAAAACTACAACTGAAGAACAACGACTGCACTCGTTTGAATTGGAAACTCTGGCGGTAGTGGCATCTTTAGCCAGATTTCGAGTATATCTAGTTGGTATTCCGTTCAAAGTCTTGACGGATTGTAACGCCCTACGGACTACCATGACTAAAAGGGATCTTATTCCTCGAATTGCACGTTGGTGGATTCAGCTACAAGAGTTCGACTGTGAAATAGAATATCGTGCCGGATCCGCCATGCAACACGCGGATGCATTAAGCCGCAACCCAGTTGGAGAACCTGAAAATGATATACACATACTAGATGTGTTAAATACCAACATTGATGATTGGATCGCGACAGTCCAATCTAATGACGAAGAAATCTGTCGTATCAAGGACGTACTGGGAAATTCCGAATCAGCAGAAGTGGCCGACATATTAAAGAATTATAAGGTCAAAAATGATAAAGTGTTTCGGATTACAGGTAGTAGTGGCTCAGATTTGCGATGGGTGGTACCAAAAGGAGTTCGTTGGCAGATTTTAAAGATGAATCATGATGATTTAGGTCATTTCGGCTTTGACAAAACTCTTGCACGTATACAAGAGACATTCTGGTTTCCCAAAATGAGGCGCTTTGTTAAAAAGTATGTTCGAGCATGTTTACAATGTGCTCACCATAAAGGGACTACGGGTAGACAGGAAGGCGAGTTACATCCTATACCAAAGATTGAGATTCCCTTTCACACCATCCATGTAGATCATCTTGGGCCTTTTGTGCGGAGCAGCAGAGGTAACTCGTATCTTCTTGTTATAGTAGATGGTTTTACGAAATACGTGAATATTAAACCAGTAAGGAACACTAAAACTAGTACTACTACAAAGGTTATACAGGAACATATGAGTTACTTCGGCACCCCGACGAGGCTTATCAGTGACCGAGGAACCTCATTTACGAGCTCAGCGTTTCAAACCTTTTGTAAGTCCAACGGGGTAAAGCACATCTTAAACGCTGTATCTACACCAAGAGCTAATGGACAAGTGGAGAGATTCAATCGCTCTATTTTAGAAGCCCTGTCCACAAAGTGCTCAGATAAAAATGATAAACACTGGGATGAATATATATACAGTATTCAGCTGGGCTTAAATACGACAGTTCACAAAACAACTGGAAAAAGCCCATCCGAGTTGCTCTTCGGGTTTAAAATTAATAGTGGTTCAGAAAATATACTAAGTGATGTAATTATTGAAACCATCAATAAGAAATCGGCAGAGGACCTTGAAGACATACGATCTGACGCAAGTAAGAACATTGAGAACCAGCAGAGGAAGGAGAAGGAAAAGTTTGATTCTAAAAGGAAAGCTAGCACCGTGTATTCTGTAGGTGACTTGGTGAGCATCAGAAGAGATGTTCCTAGTGATGGCCAGTCCATGAAGTTGGCTATGAAATTCCAAGGGCCATATCGTATAAGGAAAATATTACCCAATGAAAGGTTTGTAGTCGAGGACACCCCTCTAACCAAGAGTAAAGGACACCGCCACTACAACAATGTTGTGGCTGTAGACAGAATAAAACCTTGGTTACATTTTGATAATAATTTTGGGTCCAGTTCCGAATCCGAACCTGAAGTTGTAAACTAAAATGTAATAATTATCATGTAGAAAAGTTAAATTATTATATACAAGTATTTCATAATATCATCATTTAATTTTAAGTTGGCGAATATTATATACAATTATATTTTTACAATATATTATTTCTTAGTTTCCAGATATATACAACATTTATACATGTCTATACATCTGTAGTTAGAATATTATACTTTCTCTGTAAGAATAACGTTTTGATGTAATTGTTTTAATGTATTGTAACTAGAATGATAAATTACTACAACATTAAAGTGTTACAAACATATTAATAACATAATATAGATTATATTATCAACTTAGTAAACTAAGCTAGTTAATTAAGTTGTGTTCACAATTTGTTCACAACAATTCACAAAGTTGTGTAATCATTATATAGTCAGAATAGTATATTTAATATCAAATCAGGTTATGAATGAAGTTTAGTTATTTTCTTTGTCATTAATATGCTGAAGTATATCACGTTAACTTCAGAGTCCTAAACTGAAATAAATTTGAATATGTTTGTGAAAAATAAGGAAACAAATAATTAGTACTGTTATAATAGTTACATAATTAGGTTAATAATATTAAATTAATTTCAACATATTGAATTGTGTTCTTATAATTGTGAAGTCAATATTAATTGTTTTAGTTAGATTTGATGTATGTACAGTTACATCTGTGGGCCCGACGAAGGGACTCGTCTCAGCAGGATGGCCGAGTTGTAAGCGTACATTGATAAAGTAGCAATAGTTTCTCTTGTTAGTAACATAGATGGCGCTACCTTAGCGCCCCACGTACCGTACTTTGTAGATAATAGTTATTTTTGGAAGTACAATTTGTAAGCGTACATTGGTAAAGTAGCAATAGTTTCTCTTGTTAGTAACATAGATGGCGCTACCTTAGCGCCCCACGTACCGTACTTTGTAGATAATAGTTATTTTTAAAACTACAATTGGATTATTGGGGCATAAAATATGGGGTTGTTGTGTGAAGACATTGTCGGATAACATCACAGAAAGGATCATCACTAACCAAGGAAGCAGGTCAGTTTTACTTAATTTATTATGTTAAATAGGCTTAATTGCTTAGTTTATGTAACATTGTAGTGGTATCCATTATGTACTGAGATTGTATACGTGTATGGAGAATAAACTTTATACGGGAAGTATGATTTTGGGTTTCAATTATATCAACTCCTTTCACTTGAATACAAATGTTTACACTGTGCGTAGAATAGAACCCGCGACCATCGGAAGTATGGCGTTGCCCTAAACCATTAGACGACCGAGGCCGTATTTTCTAATGTAAGTAATTGATACTACAATATCATATTTTACCATAACATTTATTTTTCATAGTGCTTTCTTGATATATGATAGCGTAGCGGCTTTTGTATTGATTGCCGCATGCATCCTCATGTAAAGTGCGAATACTGTAACTACCATATAGTAATGTTTGTAGCTGTGACGTGGTCGAGTGGAATGAGTAGTCATGCTCACTAAAATGTCCAGACATGTGGCGGCGTGGTGGGCCGGGTCATTGGGCTCCCTAAAATATGGTCGAGCGCAGTGATGGCTGGCTCATCCGTCATACTCGTGAACGAGTGCTGCTTGTAGGGACTAGTCTGTTCTTATCACTACGACTGAATTAATCTTATTCTGTTTTTATATTTGAGCCTAAATAAATTAGTGCTGGTTGGTAGTTTGTATTCACACGTTTCGACTTGTAAAATGTGAACTTACAAGGATTGTTTAAAAGAGCAACACACAAGTTTCTTGCTTATTCTTCTTGTGATGATACAGCTTTCCGAATAAGCGGTAGATTAAAAAAAATATTGACTATTCAAAAGTGCTTAAATTAAGTTTATTTGAATAAAAGATTTTCTATTCTATTCTATTCTATTCAATAATTTTACAGTATTTAAATACATTTACATGATAGACTGCAAATGTATCTGTAATATCATAAATACACAAATACAATTCAAATTTTATTTAAACCGGCGATTGGACCACGAACGCGAATAACCTCGCTCTAGTCTGACAGATCATCTATTTCTGTCAGTGTTGCCAGCTTACTAGTTTTTCCACTGGAGCTGGTAGTTTTAACTTTCCCTTCTGCGACATTATGTCTTTCTGGTGGATTGTGGATTCTTAGCGGACTCGAAAATCCAACAATATGACCATTACAAATGAAAATTAATTATATTGGATAAAGTAAGTAAGGTCATTTATAAAGTACTATAAAATAGTATTATTGACTTTCAGAAATTATTATCCAACAAAAAATAGGTTTTGTGATAGTTATTATTTTTGTATGTTTGTAAGAAATTACTTTGTTATTACATTATTAGACTAAGTGGTGACTGAATAACTCTAACCCAATTTTCTAATTATTCATCGAAATTTGTAATTGTAAGAGCTGTGCTTTGAGTGATTACATTATTGATCTAAAAATTGGGTATTTTAAAGATCTAACTAGGGGCCTTACTAGAAGTTGTCAGCAACACTGATTTCTATTTATTCAGAAGAAAAATCGTCACGCTACCAGCAAATCCATAGATTTATAGAGCGCCACTTTATACAATCTCTATTTCCTCATAAACTTGCAATACCCAGACTGTCACAAATATATGTATGTCACAAACATAAAAGCATTTCATTGTAATAAATTTACTGCACCATTCTGTTATCTATGTATGAAATTGCATCATGTTGAGCATAGTGCAGTAGTTTACTATCGACTTGTAGAATCACTGAAAATATGTAAGGGGTCATGAGTTCGAATTTAATAATAATATTATTTAGTTACTTATTGTTGATTGTAGCCTGCCTATTATTATTTTAATATTTTTTTAAATATAACATTATATTCCTGAACAATTCACATGACCGCATCTAGTCCAAAGCTAAACAGAGTTTATATTATCGATACTAGACAACTGAATTCAAATTCAAAAATAATTTATTCATGAGGACATTTTAACCGCTTATGAACGTCAAATTTTTACATTATAATTTTCATATTTTCCCTACCGTCCAGTTCGGTATATAGATCCAATTGAGAAGAACTGGCAAGAAACTCAATTGAATAACTTTTTTTTAAAGCCAGTTTAATTACTGGTATAAATACTTAGGTACTTTTAGTATTATTGGGAGCTATTTTGAAGACAATTATAGTCCTATAATTCTTCTTTGGTTTTTTCTTAAATGATAATAGCACAGATAACATAATTACAAATAGTTTATCTCTTAGTTTATCTTGCTCCAGTCACACTTATAGACTTACCTGAGAACTTTTAGCAAGACCGAAAATGTAATAACATAGCCGGTCCAGACGAAGTAGCACTGGAAATATGATTCAGTCTAGAGTTCTAGATGTCCCGTCAACTTCTCTCTTAAAGGAAAAGTTTTCCCAAACGCGTCTTCTTATTATATTTGTTATAATGAATGGACATTTCCAAGAATTACAACTCTCGACATCTACTGTGTATTTAGTTTTAAAAATTTCTGATAACAAGTATTGAAATGTAATTGTTATAACGTACTAGCTGTGGCCGCGGTTTTACCCGCGTGAAATTTATAGTCTATGTGCTATTTTTATGTATAAGCTATATTACTGTATGTTTGGGAAACTACTCTGCTACCAAAATGTTAGGGAATTTATGTACTCTCTGTATATATATAGTGAAAAATGAGTGGAAGCGTCAGTCACGTACCTGTATGGTTCTGCGGATTTCTTGGGCTTCAGGGTCTCGAAAATATCTTCGCTAGCTTTCCACTTTCACAGTAGGTTTCACAGTTCTAATTTATTTTAATTCACAACACAATGCGCGCGCGTCATGGCCGCCGTACAGTCGGTTCACAGTACTAGGTAAGGGAGGGGAAGTAAAAGCGCGGGAACAGAAAACTAACGGACTGTGCTTACGATGGTACAGGGTAGATTTTGAACACTGTAAAATGTTATCAAAATCCAATTTTTGCGTGAAAGAGTAACAAACATCCATCCATATTCACAATCTATATTAGTTGGTTGTAATTGTTAGGTTTAATAATAAAAAATGCATACTATTAAAGAGAAGACATCTTACAGCGTTGCTTACGTGATATCATTGTAGTTCCTTGTTTCTTAATTGTTTATTTATATCTGTCTGTAAAACAAATAAATGACTTACTGTAAAAGCAAATTTCTTCACCGCGTCTGTCTCTATGTTTGTGATAATCTCAAAAACCACTGTACGGATTTTAATGCGGTTTTCAATCTTCAACTGAGTCATTTCTTAAGAGGTTCTTTTATATTACAGTGATAGCAATCAAACTTATTGCCCACATGCACGGGGTTATTGTGGCCTTGAACACCAAGGATAAGTTGAGCAGTATTATAAAACCCCGTCCTGAAATTTCAAGTCTTTCAAATGATTCCTATTGCTGTAATATTGATGTACATTTTACATTTTTTTTAGAACAATGTTTTATTTTGAATAACAAGTGCAATCTTCTTCTTTTTCAACATACATATATGCTGGACATATGCCTCTTATATAATTTCCACCTTCTTCGGTCTGCGCATCTGGTCCAAGTCGACCCTGCCGTCTTCTTGATGTCGTCCAACTATCTGGTAGCTGGACAGCCTACGTTTCTGCTTCCTGTTATTGGTCGCCACATTAGTGATCTATATGTCTTTGTCTCATCTCTACGTCGTACATATGTGGCTGACCCAACGTCACTTATCTGTGCCATTCTATTGATGATGACGGTGACTCCAGCACGTTGCCTGATCTCGGTGTTCCGCAAAGTGTCTCGTAGGAAGGTACCGAGCATAGATTGCTCCACTGCTTGTTAGGTGCAATGAAAAGTAGAAATTACTTTTTATATATCATTTATATGTATCAGTAGGCGTATATAACTGGTTGTTCGCTTAACTTAATGTACTTTACATTATGATTGCTTTCTAAGAAAATTCTTCCCAAAAATATCACGTGATTTAGAAATGAATAACAAAAATGTAAC